GCAGAAATGTTGAAAACAGGAAAATGCTTTCATGTCTTATTAAGAGTCCATAACATGTCTGGTGGAAGTTCACAATCAAAGAGCTCAGTAAGTATCATATAGGGGTTATGAATACTGTGAAGCACTTATTGCTCTGGTCTGAGAAATTTAAGTTTTCAGTGGGGGTACCGTAGCTCTGCCTCTGCCTATTTAAGCATGGTAAAATGTTGCATACTGAGTTACTGCTCTTGCTTAACTGCTATCCTTCATATTGCACCACATCATTTTTAAACAACATAACATTTTTGTCAGTTTGATTTAATTATTGGATGTTGAAGGATTTTTGTCTATTTGGGGTTCCATATTAATGTGTGTCAATTACAATCCCTGCTTTGTGCTTGGTTAAAGCGATCCAGTAGATTCCATTGAAATATTAGGCGTAGATATTAAAAAAACTATGACAGTTTTTTCTTCATGGTGCCTAAGTACCCAAACTCAAACTGAAATGCGGGAAAATTTCATTTATTAATGCTGATCTTCTTCTCCTAAATATGTTCTTTATCTTAAAGTCTTCTAGCAGCTTTGGAAAGGAGAAATTTAATAGATACATCTTAAAACATCAAACATAACTGTTTTATTCAGAAGATGAAAAGATTCAGATTTGCAAAGCTTTTATATCTTTGAGAAACAGACTTTTGTACAGTTATCAAAATATGAATTTGAAAGAATGGCAATGAAAATACTGCCAGTATTTTAAGATATTGTTTCAACTCTTAAAAGTTTAACTCACCCCATAGGTATTGCACACGTTCTTTGTACTGTCATCCACTCTTCTTTGAAAATTATATTACTGTGACATAGATATGGAGACAATTTTTAAGAATTTGAACATTTCTGGTGGGATCAGCAATCATTTGATTTATAGAGGCAGGAGGACACTGTTCCAACATAAACTCCATGGAGTCTCACAGATTAAAATCTTCCTGCAATTAAATTTAGACAAAACTGCTGCATATAAAACTTACAGAAAGTCTGACTCTGTCAATTTATCTCATATCTAAATGCCAGTTCACAAGAGAATGTGGCCTTTACGACTGTTTATTTAGAAAACATCTTGTAGTTCATCATAGAATTAGGTGGTGCAAAGATTTGATTATAATTCTTCCAAGACTAACAAAAGATAACATAATTATTCTTCTGATTTTTGTCCCAGCAGGAGAGAAATGTAAACACAGGGCATGTTTATTTGTACCACAGACCACATATTTCCTTGTTTAGGAACTTTAATGAAATCATAACTTGACACTAAAGACTATATTAAAGATCTGTTTCAGTTTAGAATGATAAACAAGATGGTTATAAATCTCAAAATACTGTTTTAGAAGAATAAGTATGTCTGATTGTACCAAGTTTTTGTACTGAATTACTACATAAAAAAATAAGACAAGTAGAGAAAAAGCTTTTTTTCCCTGCCAAGAAGATGGAGTCAATCAGCTTGTGGCTCTGTACTGCTGCACTGTTTTTCCTTTGCTCTGACTGCTGAATGAGCTACACTGGCAAGTCAGACCTTGCAAGTATCTGTTCAGTTTATCCACAGCTCTTCATGAGCAAATTATCAGCTTTCTGGTTACCTTACTCAGAGAATACATATGGAAGTTCTCTGAGTATCTGCAAACTAAAACAAGTTTTCATCACACTGTAACCACAACAAATCAAAATACTTAGGGTGTTTTCTTTGGGACATATCTTGGTTACTCTGATACAACCATTAAACCTCTATCTGGATGTAAACGGCCTTATTTAAGGTACTTATTTAAGGTACTTTTGTGGCTTAATCTTAATATCCCCATCTAGAGAAAGGGAGTGTTGGTCTCCCTTGCTTTATGCTCATTTCCATAGTGCTTTGTCTGCAAGCATTGTGGCAGCAGCAGGAACCAATCTAATATTAATACATCACCTGAAAGCCCTCAAATTTACTGCATATACAACAAGCAAGTTTGAAATGTTGTTTTACATTCCAATAAGGCTGTTGTTTCATTTTAGAGATGTTACATGAAATAAAGTGTCAGCAGTTGAAATTCACTGCAATTTTTCCAGAAACCTTGGCTAGCTCTAATCAGAGGTGATGCACCTCTGTAGAAATTAATGACTTGCAAGTTTTTTGGGGGTGGGGATATTTATAAATGGAAACATTATTTTGAATGTTTGTTGACCCATACTGATGGATTACATTTATTTACAAAATTAATTGTAGCTGATGTAGTTTACCAGAAAAAACTGGTTGGGGAAATGTTTTCAGATGTGCATTTACATTCAACTGCTAAGCTCAACCAAAAAGCATGTGTCAGTTGTGCATAATTGGAGTAAATATTTTTTCAGGTTTCATTCATTTGGAATCTAGGTTACAATCCTGGATAAAAGAATTTAAGAGCTGTTTGAGTATTTTGGATAGGAAAATCTTCTTTTTATTTGCTTAGGAAGTATTTCTCAGTCATATGCACTGACTGGATGAAAGTTGCAACACTGAATTGAAGTGACCGGGTCATTCAGGTCTTGTTGGAGGGGAGTTTATGGGATTTTTAAAAATGTGTTTCATAAAAGAGTTCTGATTTGTGTTTACAGTGAGCTTCTAAAATGGTGCCAATCATTCACAATTAGAGTAAATATTTTTTCAGGTTTCATTCTTTTGGAACTGAGGTTAGAACATTCAGTGAAAATACTGAATGGCACTTCTAACTAAACTGGGCACATGTGTGTGGGAGGTAGTTAGAAGCTCACTAGAAGCTTATGTTTGGTGTTCCAGGCAATTTTTATTTTATATTTTAAAAATGCCAAGCCCCTCAGTAAGAAGGCAGCTGCAACACTGAGAAAAAACCTATTTAACACTTCAAGAACTTGGCCTGTTAATTTTTCATCTTTAACTAGTTACAGTAATTACATTTGTCCATCAGCAAACTATTTGTCCCCCTTTGCTGAATTGAGTTTCATTACCTCCGGTGCTGGATTGCACCAGCACAGCAATGGCTACACTTGGCCATGGATGTGCATGAGAAGAGGTGTGTCTCACCTTTTTGCCACATACCAGGGACCAGATGTGGGGACTGGACCCTTTGGGGAGGAATTTGCCTGTTCAAATAGCCCTCAACTGCTCCAAAACCTATTTCACAGGAAGGGAAGGGACGCTGGAGGGTGCAAATGTTCTGGGTCTGGATTCATCTGGCAGTTGATGTCACAGGAGTTAATAATTGTAGAGGATTTTCAAAATGAAATGACTTGCATTAGTGCTGAATTGGATTGACACACAGCTTCTTAAAATATAGGAAAAAATTAGTTAGGAAAAACATACTACCTTAGTAATTTATCCCTTACATGTCTGTTCTTTGTATTATGATATCCCCTGCTTTTTGTTGCATTGCCTTTCCTTAGCCCATATTTTTACCATAACAGATTGAAAGTTAGTCAGCATAAAGTATAAAAATGTTAAGGAGTTTGGAAACACCTGGCTGGATGCATCCACATCTATTCCAGCATCCTGGAATAGTCAATCTAATGACAGCAATTTGGAGAAGGAATGGTGACAATTCTCTGGAGAAAATAATCTGTATGTTTTTTACTCTGACAAAAGGAATAAAAGTTTGATTTTAACAGTTGTAAAAGAGCATGTGATGTTACTGTGCAGTCTAGCTAGCTGTTCCAAAAGTTTCATTTAACAAACACCACATTTGACTGTGTGCACAATATAATTTCTTTAAGGGATATATCATGACTTCAGTATTTATTACTTCAACATCACATTGATGTGACTGTCACTCATTCTTTAATGGCCAACCATATATACATTTATTGGGGTACTTTAAATTTGGATCAATAAGTAATTAAAGCTTAAGAATTCCTGCTACACAGTACATAAAACTATATTAGAAATTTTCCAATCACGCTGATCTTTTAGACCATGCTTACTTAAGTCAGCATTTTCACACTAACCTAAACTAGTCACCTGCAAGTGAAATTCCGTCTTCTTTGATTTCCGTTTCAGTTTTTCCATTTCACTGAACATGATTAAGGTTCCACCTACAGGCTGTATTTAAGCACCTAAGTTTGTAGTGTTTTTTTAGACACGTCAAATACACATCATTTCTAGTGAAGTCAATAGATGCTGCTATATATGCTCAGCATTCCTGGCACCTGGAATGAATTTTAGATCTAATTCTGCAGGTGTTCCACATCAACAAAGTACTGCACCTGCCCAAAATTACCAGTAGGGCTACACCCAACTGCTGACCTTTGTATATTTTAAGCAGCTGCTCAAAGCTCAACAACGACCATTTAGGTTGGTTTTTTTCCCCCCCTGAACTATTCTATATGCTATTATTCCATTTTCTTGTAACACATTGGTCTGTTTCTTTTAAACATTGTAACTTGACATCTATGCCTCAAATTACCAAGTATATAACTGCTGCTACCAACATCAGTGTAATCTATTGTGAATTTCACACATGCAAATTTCATTGGAATTCTTGTCACGGTAAAGATCAACATAGTGACATGACCATTTCTTACTCCTTATGATAATCTACTTATCTGACGTAGAACTTCTCTATTATAAAAATCTTCATTTTACCAGGATTGACCAATCTAGTCCTTAGTCTTCCTGCAGGAAATCCTGAAGGTCTTTCAGGCATCTATCACAAGCTCTTCTGATCTTAATGTTGGTGCTCTACTTGTGTGTTACATGGAATTGAAATCAGAATGTGTTATCTATGCTGCCTCATCCAAGTACCCCTTGGAAGGAATAGCATAAATGCCATCTTGGAGTTATGTAGATTAGATTTGTATCACCTTTGTTGTTCTAATACCTCACAGAGAAAATGTTAAGTCAGTAAACTCACTGCATAAATAAAAGCATCTGCTTTTCTGTCACCCTTTTCAGGATAAATGTTACTTTCTGATAAGAAAAACTGCAGACAGCCAGTTGCTTTGAGAAGCGCATTAATAAGGACAAGGCTGATTTATTTATTTATTTTTTTTTTTATTTAATCAGAGAAAGGTTAGAAATATGGTATCAAATGATAAAAAGTTATCCAAAAGATTACTGAGCCATTTGAAGCCCTGTCTTCTCCTTAATACTGTACAGTAGCTGTCAGTTATCTTTAGAATAAAGCTTCTATTCCAGTTTTCATAGCTAAGCTATATTACAGCAAATGTGTTACTTTTAAGAAGTCTACAGATCTGTTCACTTTAATCTGTCCTTTCAAAACAATATGGATTTTTCAATTAGATGTTTAAATATATCTGAAATTAGAACAACAGAAGCCAGCCTGAAGTACAATAAAAAATTAAATGTCTGCTTTGTATGCATTTTTACTACACAAATCCACAAAATCAAATACTATCACTGTAAGAATATTTTCGGCACACAAATAAAAATAATCACATAATGCATACCCAAATGCTTAATGGTAATGCTTAATGGTTTTGAACATTCTGAACAAGGGCTGTGATTCCAAACAGAAGATAGGTTCAGCTCCAGCAGCTGCAGTCATTGCTGCCTGAGATATCTGCCAGAGGTTACCATCCTTCTGCTGCTGCTCAGCTGCTGAGTCTAGTGAGCTCTCAATGAATTCACAGATTAACTCACAGACTAATGCTACACCAGCTGAGGAGAAACTCCATGCAGCTCTCCAGCATCTGGCAAGGAAGCAGACTAGGCAACTGGTACAAGGAGTCAAAACCTCTGGCAGCCAAGGCTACCTCTATCTAGATGGGAAATCAGAGCCCAAAGATAAAGCTCAGTCAGCTGGAATATGCCTACCTCAAATAAGTGCAAACCTATGCTCTATGGCTTGCAGTGACTTGAAAGGATAAGCAAACCTTGTAACAGTAAAGTGCAGCAAAAAGGTCTATGTAGAAACTGACAGGATTTTTTAAGTCAATGAGTTCCAGATTAATAAAACATGCTGACCAAGCCAGATTGTGACCCTTGTCGTGCATGGAAAGTCCTTCCTTTTGGGAATTTCACACTCATACTTTTTTTGGGTTGATTTCTTTCTGGCCATTTCTTATTTTATTGGCCTTTTTGGGGCCACTGATCAGTGGATTGGTGTTCTTGGTTTGTGGTTTCAGGGCTCCACTCTGACCACTGCGTCCTGAATTCTGGTTCTTACTGCGCGCAGTTCGCCGCTTTTGCTCTTGGAGTCTCTGTTCCCACCTCTGTAGAAATGCAGAAAACAAAGAGGATGAGTTAGGGAAGAACATAATCATAAATAATTACATCTTAATGACATCTTGAACCACTGATGCTAGTGCTGCCTTTGATAGTTTCATGCTCTGTATTTCAAGGCCATTGATGTCAGCAAGTTATGGCTATTTGCAGGGAGAACAAGTTCTAAGTTAGAGGAAATTTCCACAACACCAGTGGATGGAAATGACAATTTCCCATCTCATGTGCATGCTGCATGTGAGTGCCTTTTCAGAAATAGAGAGGAGCTAGCATCATGACATCAAAAAGTCAGGATCAGCACATTGGAACTCCTTTGCAAGGCCTTTCTTTGCTATCTTGCTGAACGTGCTACTCAACTTTTCCTCAGAAAAGTCTACAGGAATCAAATTATCCTTTCACAATGTATACTTAAGCATCCAGCTACAGGGGGAGCTGGTATTTACTTTCTAGTTCTGCTTTTCCTTGGGGTGGAGAGGACTGGGCATGAACCAGCTTATGTTGTGGACAGACAATAGTGATGATCACAGTGAAATCACAGTGTTGAGAGTTGCAATGGAATGGTTTGAATAATGCACCTCTAACTTTATTCAGCAAGAAATTTTGAAAATCAATGAGCCTACCGAAGACAACAGCTGTCAGATTTTCAAATCAAATAGTGCAGGAATTACAAAACAGGTTTTTACAGTAAGTTTAACTGGTCAGCTCTCCAAAACGTGGAGGGATCCATAAAATAGCAACAGAGACTGTGGACTTTCACTTCTAGGAACAGAAATACCTATTTTAAGGAAAACAAGGTAGGTAGTGGAACCCAGAAAGGGTCTCAGCTCTCCCCACTATTATCTTTCCCTTCTGAAACTCCTAAAGGCAGGGGATTTACCAGTGATCACAGCAAGAGAAGTGCTCTCCAGCTTTCCTATTCAGTATCGCTGCACTGATTTTGTTGCAGCTCAGACTCTTTGTCCTGGCTAGAGAAAAGACCAGCCATGTTGTGGTTATGTTAACAACTGTCTTCTGTGGCTGACAGACAGCTCAAAACATCCATTTTAAGTGGTAACTCAAGATAAAATTTGGATGCAAATCTTCAGAGATGAATGATGGGTATTAAAATTAAGCCACAGTGGTACCTAGCTCCATACCGACTTTGTGTGGTCAGAGTCATTTTATGCATCTTTATAAAACCAAAACAATCAGCAGAAATTTAGTTTTGTCCCACCCAAACATGCTTAAATGAGGAGCTAGTTACTGAAACTATTAATGTGAGAGGAAATGACATGTGCTTTGAAGGGTATTTTGTTTGGCCGTCATGCATCTATTTGACTATCTGAAAACTAATGCCCAAATATGATTCAAGACACAATTAGAAACGACAAAACAGTGTGAGGAGGTGACTAAAACACACTGTGTGCCAGCAACAAGCCATTAAGTTGACAGCTAAAGGATTTCAAGAATCCAAGTCATATGTCAATATTCTTCTAAATCCCACATGGCATCCTCTGCAATTGCCATGTATTTATTTTTTAAAGATTTAAAGCATGTTTTCTTTTCCACACATAGGTTTCCTACGAGTAAGTGAAGAGTGTATGAGAGAAGCACTGAATGCAATTTCCTGCAAGAAGTTGGTCTGTAATACAAAAGCTTCTGCTTATGGATTCCTACATCTCTTTTCCTCCTCTCTATCAATTGCCAATCAACTCATAATTAAAACATACATATATATGTCCTTAAACACGCATGTATGTCCTTAATGCTCCGAAAACCTTTCTGAATTCCAAAAATACCTTTCTTCCATCTCTAAAAGCAGGAGGAAGAATCAGACCTTCTCACAAGCCATCTTTTCTTTCCATTAAAAAGAGGAGTTTACAAGTAGAGAGTGATATAAAGTGCTACGCTGAAGCCCCAAAAAGCAGTGGCATCTGCTGTGCCTGCCACCTATGTCTCTATACTAAAGACTTTCCCTTCCAGTGTTTCCTGAATCCAGACGGATAATGCCCAATCCTTTGGGTGGGTCTTAGTAGGGAGTATCTGGTGAGAAGTGTGTGTCTCCAGCCTGCAATCTTTAATGCAGCAAAAAAAATTAATCCAGTGCAGAGGATTTTATCTAATGTGGGCTATGTACTCATCTGCATATCACCTTCACTTCCATTTCATTGCTCCTTGTGGTAACAAGGATATGAAAGAAATTCCTAGAGATATTATTGTAAGAAACCAGAGTTCACAAAAAGATCATCCCACAGGATAAAATTTAATCAAAATAAAATTTTAGAGACTCTAAAACACAAGATTAAAGTATGCAAATTTTCACTTATACTTGGGTAACTACAAGGGCTGAAAATATTCAAGTAAAAATTATGATACCCAGAGGAGTTACACATATCTGGAAGTCATCAAAGTTAATGCTGAAGTAAAACAAAGGCGCATAACTTTTTAACAAGAACATCAGCATTCTTTGGTTGCATTTACCTTAAATCTTCTGTTTAGTTGGTCCTTCCATTTTTCAACTAGACATCCATCAAGAAGCATCAACCTGAAAATTAAGAAATACAAACAAGTTACAGATATTTCTGATTTTAATTCCTGAGATTCCATTCCAGATGATTTAACACAGACTGGGGTGGAAATGCACCCACAGGTACTGGTACTGACAGGTTTTATGTATGGGATGATGGGATACCATATGTTTCTGTGCGTCTTTGTGTGAAGAGCAGATTAAACTGATAAATTTTACTTCTGACTTTAGAAAAGAAGCTGTTTCACATGCACCAGCTAATACAGCTTAGCTGAAAAAACACTAATATAATTATATGATCACTTACAATTGTATCCATTTCTACCTGTAAATACATGAGGATGGAAATATGTGTTTCCTACATCTAACTCCTTAATGAGGTGAGTTTGGAAGACATATGGTTAGTGATACTTGCCATACTTACCTACCAGTGAAATCTGGCTAGCTCCTGCATGAAAACATTGAGTCTAGGCGTTATGAAATGAATAAAACAATAATGTGACTATTAAATATTAAATAAAACAGCTTATTCTAAAGCAGTCTGACATGACACCTTCCACGTCCCAACCTAGAGACAACTTCTTGGTTTTCTTTTATTTGGTTGGTTGAGATACCAGACCTTAATATGCCCTAATATAAATTTCACTAAAATTCTGGGGGTTATTACTTAGACATCAGTGTTGGCTGGAAAGACATTGTTATAAATGCACACAACATCACACAGTACTGTTCTGGCTGGTGAAGGTTAAACAGTGTAGCAGGGCCTGACCTCCAGTTTCCATGAATAGTGTTGCTGCTCTTAGCAGCTCAAACGCAGTACAAAATGCTGCCTCTCACAGTCCCAATGTGCATCCAGTTTGACCAAACATAAAAGGCTCAACATGAATGGAAACCCTGGAGAATCAGGATCAGTATGTCATACATTTCCTTTTCTTTCCAAAGACAAATTAGAGGACAAACGTACAGGATTGATGCCAAGGCCACACTGCCATGAATGAAACCACAACATGGGGTACATCTGGCACAGCTTTGGTACAGGTCAATTATCCAGTGAGGCTCTAACCCTAACAATAGGCAATAGGTATTTTGCCATTGACTGCAGAGGAGGTACAGCTTCTGCAGATTCTGGCTCTGTCATTTTAAAAAAACTGCTGTAACTCAAAACCTTCTGTTTGCCTGCCACTGAGTTCAACAGGAAGCACATATAATAGTTTATGTTTCTTTTTCAAATCCATTTTAGTACACTATATGAAATTAAAAACCTCAATGACCTTTAAAAACCATCACAAGATATTTAGTGAATTGCGTGTTTTTCCATAATAATGGAGATGCCGATTGTGATCTTTGACTTATGAAATCTCCCTTTCCTAACAGCCTCCAGAGGATCCTCTGCAATCCAGAGCTCCTCCATCGCCATTCTGGTCATAATCTTTCTACATGAGTCAGAGCTTGTATCCCTAAAATGACTAACACAAATAAAGGGCTCTACATTAACATTTGTGAAATACTTCCAGACCTGGAGGGGTGTCATAATAAAATACTGTGTTTGCTAGCTCACCAAAAAACAAGTTAAAGCCATAAGATGTCAGATGAAAAATTTTAGAAACACCTATAAAATGCTCTGAAAATATCAACATAAAACTCATTAAAAATATGGACATGGCCCATCACGTCCCACATGTGAATGTTCCGTGGTCCTTACAAGTGTGTGTGACCAATTAAAAGTAACTTCACAGTATGCAAAACCAGCCTGCACATTTTACAGACAGCCTTGTCTCCAAACCACAACACATAGGCCTACACTGAACCTAAAACACCACCACCTGCTCTGCTGGCATCTACTGGTGCACTTGGGGTGCTAATGGGGATGGGACGTCCCCCTTCTGCCTCAAGGAACCCTGGAGAAAAGGGAGCTGTGATTCATCACTCCTTTCCCTCCAAACCAGCATGCTGGATTTCCTTCCATGTCTGGGGCTAGGCCGACTGCCAGATGAAAGGTCTGGTAAAGTTAGTTTTGTTTTGTTTTGTTCTTTTAATCATACAGCAGGACTGGCAAGCTGCTCTGAGAGTATTTACTTTTCATCTGCCATCCGGGAGCTTGAGCTCCAATGGCTGCAGCTTTGGCTGGTCCCAGTGCAGCTGTGGGATGAGAAACATCTCATTGATGGCACTGGTCCAAAGTATGGACAGGCCAGTAGAGAAGGCCTGGCTTTGACTCCAGCAGCTCTGCTGACAGAAGATGCGTATCATCTCTTGCCCACTCCCTTGGTGAGACAGAACGATGCCTTCCACATGGTCCTGCCGACACAGACCATCATCTACAGCCACTGTTGGGCTTGCTGCACACAAAGCAGCTCATCCCTATGGAAAGTGGTCCTGGAAAAACACTCCCAAGCTGGGGGTGACTGAACTGCTGCATAATGCCTTATCAAGATGCTGGCAGCACCTAATGCCACCAAATTTTATTATCCTCTTTGCATGAGCCAAATTTTGTAAATACTACATTATGGCACAGAGCTGAGGCTGATGAAGTGGATAAAGTCAGATGTGAAGATAATGGAAACACATATGTGTATGTATGAGTTATCCTAACAAAAACTGTCAGCAAAACAAGCCTATGATGGGGAAGAAAGCTCTGCTGGTCCTCCTTCCCATCTATCACAGTCAGCTCTAACACTTCTTTGCACCACATCATCACTGCTCACCTTGAGCGCCACTCATAGCACATAATGAGAACATCCTGCTTTGGTTGAAGAGGCGGGCACTGGCAGGAGGAATTTGTAAGAAGAGGCACTTGGGACAGAGGAATTGGCGTTGAAGACTTGAGTATGTCTTTGACTTCAACCACAGTCGTTATCTCATTGCAGTTCCCTCTTTCAACGCTTTTTACTTTAGCGTGAATGACTGCAAATAGAAAAATAGAGCAGTGAGAACAATAAACACTTAGAAATTTAAACACATCACAAAATTAAATAAAAATATTGAATTGGAAGCTGTTGTTTTGGTTTTGAAACTAGAACTACTTCTGCCTGTGTGGGCACGAACAGTGGCTTAGAATAAGAGAGGCCTGATCTTGATTTGGTTTTCAGTAGGACTGTTGACAACAGTGGAATTAAACATGTGCTTAAATCTTGGCCACATCAGGCCAACCAGCCTCGCCTGGAATCACACACACAAACAGATCCTTCAACTCAGACTTGAACAAGACTTTGCATAAATCTAACCCATTCTCCAGCTGCATCTGGCTATTTCCAATTAAGTAATGAATAATTTACCTCACAGACAGTTGTCATGAATTCAGTCTTTTCAATAATCAAATCACTTCCTGTAGATTTAAACCAGGAAATATAGTCTTTTCTTAAATATAAGAAACAAAGGAAGGCTAGAAAGAACAGTCAAAAAAAACTAAGAGGCTTAGGATTGCCATGATTTACTTGAGCTATACTTTTTTCATCTTTTGCCTTTGTATTCTCTACCAATAGTGAGATGCTTATATAAATGAGACACTGAAACAGGTTCTTCTGACTCTGAATACACAAGCATTTGTATTTTTACCTTTCATTGAGGAAAGCTGCATGTCTGCACTGATGCAAGAAGGTGAAACGCTGCAGATTGCTCTGAAATGATCCCTGCTTAACTTTGTACCTACAAACCCTGGCATTACCTACCAGTCCATCATTTCATCTCTTCTCTCTTGTGAGAAATACCAGGTCCAATAAAGTATGATTTTCACATAAAAGATTTTGTCTCTAGGGAATGTAAAAATAGAGAGGGTTCTACTGTCTGAACATTCTTCAGTTGAAGAAGCATGCGAACTGTATAGAGCACAGGGTGATCAGCCTGCCCCTGTGGGACCCTGCCAGCCACTGGGTCAAAAGCCTTCACATGAACCTCATAAAATCTGAAATAAACTTCACACGTAGAAAACAGGAGACCAGCACTTTTAATGTGGTCTGGGGTTATGTGCTACCTTTATCAAGACATGTATAACAGACACAAAACATGCAGGGAATTTGGAGACTCATAGTCCATTTTCAAGTCTGATTGGTTCTGATAGCTAAAAGTACAATTTGACTGTATGTCTTAAAGGGTTTTCAGAAAAAAAATGATTGATTGATTGATTTTCAACTCATTAAATCTCATCCCTCAGTTCATTTTCAATATAAGTAGGTCTATTTATCTCAGAGGGAGCTGAATGGAAATTTACATCTCAAAAACAAAATCTTTATTTCACAAATTCAATGGAATTAAATTTTGGATCCCAACATACATGTTTCACTCAAGGAACACTCAAATCAGAACTGACACGGCTAACACCTGTTTTTCATTTTGGAACAGTCATTTGATATCACTACTTTTTCATACATTTCGGAAACTGTAGAAGCTCATTGTTCCACCTAAACAGATCTCTGTGTTGTAGAGATGCAGATCAAGGAATTATATAAAAACAATACGTTGTGTAAATGCACCAGAATGTTGTAATGAACAAAAAAATTGTACAATTACCTAAGCTAGAGGTTCAGCTTGATTATTCCCACCAAACATGCTAACAAATAAGCAAATAGCTACCAACTTACTTTCATTTGATGTCAAGCAAATAGGAATTGGATTATATTATAACCCTACTGCAGAAGAACTGTATAAATGACTGGAAAAAAAATCTGCCATCTGAGAAAATGCCCACAAAGTGCAAAATGAAGCAATACTGCATATTAAATTCATAGTTAATAGGGGCTTTGTATTGACAATAGGTTCAATCTGGCATTTATCTAATCTTAATTAGAATTCTTCCTGATTCACACCATCAGAATATTGTTTTTATTGCCAGTATGTCACCCAACATGTAATAAAACTATCAGCCATCTATTCAGCCAGATGGTGCAAATTGTCACCGAATTCAGTTAATTTCTGACAATTCTGCATGGGACAGAACTCTAGCTAATAAGTAAAAGTATATATAAATTTCTAAAAACTTTTTACTTTGCTGCAGCTGGTTCACATCTACAGGTTTTATTTGGGTAGCAACCCCCTGTTTATTCTACCTGCTGGACGAAAACAGGAGCTGGCCAAGTCGTCACGCTCACATCAGACGTAATTGCCTTTACTAGAGTGACCTTTGCAGCAGTAACCAACTTTCTGCAGAGCAGAAGGGGGCACATTACTGACATTTTACTGCTTTTGGCAGAAACACACCATCCTCTGTGCACTACTACTGCCTGCACATGGTGTGTGCTACAGCTGGATTTTGGAAGAGGACAGCTAGGTATCCCCCAGTCAAACACCCACTTGGAAAGGCTGTGTTGGAGAAGTCTTCTCATGCCAGACTTGCTGGATGGGGCCTGGTGTGGCTTCACCACGCACACAGAGCTGCCTAACTTGCAGGGACACAAGGAGGGTGCGGGACCGGCAAAGTGAAGTGTTTCCCCCATGCACTTACTGTAGCTGTAGTTCTTGGCCAAGTAGGTTGACAGCGTAGGCTTTGTCTTTTTGCACCTGCACCGCTCTTCAAAGGAAGAGAAAGGAGAAAGGTTGAGGGGTGTCAGAGGGACCCTATCTGCGGGGAGGTGGAGGCGGGGGGTCATCCGAGGCTCACCCTGGCCGCGGCTCCTGCAGTCAGGCTCCAGGGGTCTGTCCGGCACCATAAAGCCCTGTGTGAAGTCCGTCCACTTCACATCTGCAAACAGAGGTGCGTCAGGGAGAGAAAACTGTCGGAAGAGGCTCCAGGACTGGAGCGTGGGGGTCCCGCAGCCCCCTTGTCCCACCCTGGGGCGTCCCGCGGGGGTGGAGGGAGTCCTCCCTCCCACCTCTCGCTGCCCCCGGGGTTCTCACCCTCCGGCACGTCGGTGACGATGGCCTCCGGGGAGATGCAGACGCCGCGGTCGTAGACGGGGAGGTCGTCGCAAGCCAGGCTCTCGGGCCAGCTGTGGTTGTAGCGGCGCATGATGGGCTCGCAGCCGTCGCGGGCGCGCTGGCACACGGAGCGGCACGGCTTGATGGGGTCGTAGAGGAACTCCAGGGTGCAGATGGGGGCGTACATGGCGCAGAGGAAGAAGGGCAGGACCGGGCTGCAGCCGGTGGCCACCAGCTCCTCGAACTGTTCGATAGCGAGGACGGCGTTTTCCTGGGTGCTGTGGTGGAGGTGGTTGGGCATGCGGGTGATATTCCAGGGCATGGAGCGGCACATGGGGATGCGCACCGCCTCGCACGGCGCGCCCTGCGCCCGCGGGCTCACCCGCAGCCACAGGGACACCGCCACCAAGGCGCGCAGCATCCTCTTCCTCCTCCTTCTCCTCCTTG